AGGCCACTATTATCACTAAAAACCTGCCTGTGGCCTGAAAGCCATAATGGAAGGGGGTTCAAGTCCCAGGTTCCATTGCTAAGGTGCCACCAGTGGGCACAGCTAAATCTGTTTCCGGGATGATTCTGGTTGCTCACCCTTCCAAGTTCAAGATGGGCTCAGATCACCATCAATAAGCTCATATTTAAAACCCCACCCCCAGAAGTGGGAGAAGCTTCCAGGAGGGGCCAAAGACCTGGAGGCCCTGCCATGGGTCTATGCAAGTCTAGGCCCAGCATCAGCACTCTGCCATGCTCACATATGCAGCTGTATATTCCCGTTTCCCCTTTATGTCTTAATAAGAATTCCTTTTCGGGGCCTCCCTGGTGGTACAAGGGGTGAGGCGTCAGCACTATGAAGCTATTTGCAACTACTGCAGCACGAGTTCCATCTCTGGCCAGGGAGCTACCCACATGACGCAGGAGACCTCTCCTGACTCACCCGCTGCTCCCCTCAGCAGTGTATTTCAGTCAGTCTGCCTGTTCTGTTCCCCACTCTGTCTCTGGTGAATCCTCTCACCCCCCCCCCACCTCTGGCCTATACCCTAGTTCTTGTAAACATAAATAAATAAATCTTTTTTTAAAAAATTCCTTTTCCAAAAATGCCAAGATTATCTTTCACATAACTAAGGAAGAAGGAGAGAGATACCAAAAATGAAATAGAAACTCAATTCCAGGTGCAGCTCCAATATTTCCGTCTGTGTGGGTACGGGCAAGAGGGGAAGAGCAGCTCACAGAAGTCACAGAGGCTGAGCTCACACAGGGTAAGCAGCTGCTGCCTGAACAACCCTCAGGTAAGTGCCATGGCCACCATTTTACAGGTGAGGAACAAGGCTCAGAATGTGAACTTGCTCAAGGTCCCACAGGTAGGAAATGACAGCTGGGATTCAAACCTGACTAAAAGCCACTTGACCTTTCTGTGTCCTCATTCTTCAGTTTTAAAATGGGAACAGTAAGAGAGCCATTAGGAGAACAAAGTGAAACAATATTTATGAAAACGTGTGTGAAGTATGACCCCTTGTTAAAGTCTCCCTGGGGAAGGACAAGTTCTGCCCCCTCTATCTCCGGCTCACTTAGCCACTGCTCAGTCGGGCTTACTGCAGAGTTCCTGGGACACCCTGGGCCTGCTAGAACCCAGCCATGCCCAATGCCCTGAGTCCTCCCGCCCACCTTGTGAGACCAGCTAGCAGGTACAGCTGGAAACCTAAGGGGCCAAAACTGTCACAGGCTCCATCTGGATGAGCCTGGAAATTCACCAGCGTTGTCTCGACAGAGGGGAGTTGTTAAAATGCCTTCACTTCGCAGACACTAGTAACACCCACATGGAAAGCAGCATGGTGAGGGCAGGGCCTCCACCTTGGGAATCCTGACCTCCAAGGAATAGTAGGTCCCAGTCTATACCCATCTCTTAGCCCCTTAACCCCTAGCAGGCCAGGATTGTTTCCTTCTGGGATGTGGCCTCTGTGGCCTCCTCATCCTGGTACAGCTTATTTATTTAAACAGGACACACCAGGTGGCATAGGCAGGTGGCCTTGCCTCCTCAGAAAAGGCTGGAAAAACCCAGGTAGCATGGAATCTGACCAAGGTCCTGAGGGCTCAGGCTGGGCCTTCTCTGCCAACCACCCATAAAGAGCACAAGTCTCTTGATTTCTCAGAGACACCCGGGCAGGGAAGGAGCCCTGGAGCCAAATCCTGTTGTTACCAAATGCTGTCCGAACTTTAGCAAACCACTTCTCTCTAGAGACCTCAATTTCCTCATCTGTAAGCAAAGGGGTTAGAGTTAGATCGCTGAGGCCCATAATGCTACTTGCTTTCCGTGACAGCACATATGTTGTGATCCCTCAGAAAGTCTCACACAGTCCCTAATGTTGACCTTCCACAAGTCCTGTAACTGAAAGTCATTTGAGACAAAATAGCCAGGCAGGAAACAGGCAACAGACCCACCTCTCAGCTCCTGAAGAAGCCATCACCATCCTCAGCTTGGGCTTCCAAGGAACTCAGCTTTGACTCCATGTACCCAGACCCCACTAGGAAGAAGAAGGTTAAAATCCTGAACTGTAAGGAGGAGCTCATCACTTCACTTGGCTCTCAGACAACAGCCAGTATCCAGATCCTGAAAGTGGTAGCAACTGACCCCCACAGAACAGTTGCTAAAATCCCTATCACCTGTTCATGTGAGCACGACGAAGGCCATTGGTCGTCGCAATTGGACTGCAGGCAGGGGTGTCCTGAGGCGCAGGGTCCTGGGGTCCTTCCAGGCAGCTTCCCTTCAACACCAGTGAGCAGAAAGAAAGCTGAGGAAAGCCCACATCTCTCCTGCCCCTCCTGCTATTAGCTCCAGTCAGAGACTGAGCCAGGAATAGACAGGAAATTTCTGCCAGCTGAAAGTCCCTTAGTCTCTGGACCTCATTTTACTTGCTGTAAAATTAAGATAAAAGTAATTAATCATTAGATTGATGCAAGAGATAAAATATTCAAAACATAAGACATGTGCTGTGTAAACAGAAAAAGGGCCACCCAAGTGAATTGGGTAATGATGAAAACGAAAGAGGCGTAGAATTTTTATGGTGGTGTGCTGGAGACAGCTTGAAAAGAACCTACTTTTCACTGTTCAGGAGTTTTGCTGGTCAGTTGCCATCTCATCTCAGCTTAAAGTCAGTTATAGCCAGCACATTTACCCCAAAGAAAAGGGCAAATGCTAACAATCAGGGCTTTGCTTTTTTTTCCCCCCAGAGAGCCAATTATGAACTATTTCCCAGCATGCCCCTGTGCACAAATAAGAGTAATGCAACAGGAGCCAGCTTGCTGCTCTTCCAACACACTCACCGTATGATGAATAGTGACTGCTTTAACGCAGTAAGCCTGGGAAATTGTATTATTTCCTAAAAGTTATAAAACTTTTCCATTTCCGCAAATATTTTTGAGACCCCCTGTGTGTAAGGGCTCGAAGATTCAAAAAATCTCTTCCTAAATTGCTCCCAGAGTAGTAGAGGAATGAAAAAGTACACACTATGGGGGCATCCCAAGAATGGCAAGGTAAAAGCCCAAACTGTGGAGGCCAAGACCAGGACACTAGGAAAGCTGCTTTAGGCAGAGTAAGTGGCACATGGAAAGGCACAGAGCCATGGATGATAACTTTTTTAAATTCCTCTCTAAGAATTGACTTTGAGGGATCTTTAGAGTTGGTATATAATAGACACCATGTACACTAGCCAAAGAGTATGTCCCTCACCTTGCTCCCTTCACAGGAATTTAGCACCAAATTTTCTTTGACTGCTTCCAAAACTCAAATCCACTTTCAGGGGGTGAGACTAGCTCCTCACAGCAAAGAGGAACTCCCAGGACATTGGATAAAGCCACGTCGCTGAAGTGTCTGAGCCCAAACTCTGAAGGTGACTACTGCAGGCTGCAGCAGGCACTCAAATGGAAACAGGACCATTTAAATTGCCATCTCATTACACAGGAAGGCTTTACAGGGAACAATAGATGCCAACCTTTTTCTAAGAGGAACAACCATGTTCTGCCTTGGAGATTGCCAGAATTTGAATTTCAAAAATGAAGGGGAAAAAATCCAAAGCATCCAGACAGGAAAAAAGAGGTTACCTTCAAAGGAACAAAAGTCAGGGTGACCTCAGACTCTGCAACACTGAACACTTGCAGGCAGTGGGGCCAGGATATGAATCCTATGCCAGTTAAGTCATTATCTGCATACAGAGGCAACAAAATGTCATTCTCTCATTCACAGGGATTTAGAAAATATATCACTCACACTCTCTTTTGGAAAAAAACATTTGAGGACACACCAACTGTCTGGACAGGAATCAAAATACAAAAATGGAGAAAATGACACATTATAAAAAGATTGGAAGTGAAGAGTAAACCAGTCAAACTTAAAAAATAAATTATTATACATTTGTTTTTAAATTGGGTTTTAACCATTTATATGAAATTCTAGAATAGGCAAAGATGATCTACGGTGAAAAAAAATCAAACTGGAAAGAGTTAAACAGAAACTTGCTAGAGTGATGGATATGTCCCCTATGGTGTAAGGATTTGTGTTGCACGTGTAAAACACTTAAGGCCAGTACACTGCACTGCACATAATTATATCTCAATTTAAAAAATGAAGATCTTAATATTGAGTCTTTTACCTATAAATGTGATGTCATCTATTTATATATTTAGGTCTTTAATTTTCTTTAATTTCAAGATTTTTGTAGTTCAGGTCTTGGATGTCTTTTATCAATTATCCTTTTTCCTATTTATATGCTATTATAATTGGTATTATTTAATCTTTGACAGTTTACTGCTAATAAATAGAAATATAATTGATTTTTACATGTTGGTCTTTATATCCAGTTTTATCAGATCTACTAGTTTTGGAGATGCTACTAAATTTCCTACATAGATAACCATGTCATCTATCAATAAAACAGTTTTACTTCTTCTGTCCCAATCCAGATGCCTTTTATTCTTTTTCTTGTCTTATTCCACTGGCTGGAACCTCAAGTATGATTTGAGTCAGTGATGAGTTGACATTCTTGTCTTATTCCCAATCTTAAGGAGAAAGCATTTAGTTTTTCACCACTAAGTCTGCTGCTAGCTGTAGGGGTTTTGCAGATGTTCTTTATCAGGGAAAGGATGTTTCATTCTCCTAGTTTGCTGAGAGATCTTATCAAAAAAAATGACTGTGGGATTTGTGTCAAATTAATGACTAAGGAATTTTTTTTAATGGCAGTAAGATACCACTACCTACATACCTACTAAAATGGCTAAAATTGAAGAGACTGACCATACCAAGTCTTGCTGAGGATGTGGGGCAACTGGGATGCTCACCTACTACTGATGGGTATATCAGTAGTATACAGTCACTTGGGAAAACACTTTGGCAGTTTCTTCGAAAGTTTAAAAGGTATTTACCGACGAGAAATGAAAGCATGTGTCCACACAAAGATTTGCACATCAGTTGAATGTTGCTTTATTTGTCATATCCAAACAGTAAAAACAGCCCAAATGTTCAACAGCAGGTAAATAATGAACAGTGGTGGGATAGTCATACCGTATGCCAGCAGTAAGAATGAATAGTAATGTGGCTAGATCTCAAAATAATGATGGTGAGTGAAGAAATCAGACAAAAAGGAATACATGCTGTTTGATTTATTTATATAAAATTATTGAAAATGCAAACTAACTATAAAGACAGGAAGCAGAACAGAGATAGTCTGGGGACGGGTTGGGGGTTCAGGGAAAGTTGAGAGTTGGGAACGTGAATGTGAGAAATGTTCTGAGGGTGATGGACATATGCGTTGTGATTGTGGTGATGAATACAAATGTCAAAACTAATCAAATTGTGCCTTTTAAATATGTGCAATGAGTACATGAGTAGTATATCTCAATAAAGCTGGTTAGACATAGAATAATCACACCTTGAAGAGAACGCTAGTGTTATAAATCATTATTAAAAGAATATTATCAAAAGAACATATACATGATATAAATAAGTGGTGTATTTCTATACATGATATAAATAATAGCAATAATCTATGGTTACAACCACAGACAAAGTTAGCAATGACTAGTAGGGAGGGGAGAAGGTCCTGAAATACAATCAGCTAAAGCTCTCGTTATAACAAAGTATCAGAAGCTAGGGTTATTCTTGATTTTGAGATGCAGAGAAATATCAGGGATTTGTTTTAAGTATGGAAGAACTTCAAATCCAGCAAAAGTGACTCTGACTAGGCCCCGAGGCCTTCCATTTTAAGAAGTGTCCGTGCCAACCTGTCACCAGGGGAGGATTTCTGGCTGTCACATCCTGTGACTTTTACAGATACCCAGACCAGGAAATAGGTTAGCACCCCTCCAAGGATATATAGACCCACCAGCCCCACCTCCCCTTCTCTGCTTCACCTTCAAATCCTTGATGTTTAAACTTAACAACAACTAATGGTCATTCAGCAATCCCACTGCTAGTTCGGTATCTAAAGAAAATGAAATCACTTTGTCAAAGACATATCTGCATGTTCATTCCAACATTACTCACAATAACCAAGACATAGAAACACAAAAGTGTCCATCAAGAGATGAACAGATTTAAAAAGAGTGTTAAACACACATACACACAGAATACTCTTCATCAAAAAAAAAAAAAAAAGGCAATCCTTTGCAAATGGATGGATCTTGAGGATATTATGCTAAGTCAGAAAAAAACACCACATGATCTCACTTATTTGTGGGATCTAATAAGGCTGAGTAAGTTGTGGAGTCTGGTACGGCGGCTATAATCAATACTGAAATTTCATACTCAAAAGTTGCTGAGAGAGTAAATCTTTTTTTTTAAAGATTTATTTATTTAGGCATACAAGAGCTGGGTACAGGCCAGAGATGCAGGGAGTGAGAGGATTCACCAGAGACAGAGTGGGGAACGGAACAGGCAGACTGACTGAAATACACTGCTGAGCAGCAGGTGAGTTAGAAGAGGTCTGCTGTGCCAGGTGGGTTGCTCCCTGGCTGGCTGGGGATCGAACTCATGCTACAGAAGCTGCGAATAGCTTCATAGTGTGGTGCTTAACCCCTTGCGCCACCAGGGAGGCGTTCTCACCATGTACACAAAACACGGGAAAGGCATGAGCTGACAGAGGTGCTAATCTCATTTGATGGTAATCATCTTACAGTATATGTATGTATGGAGTCATCACTGCGTATAGAGGTATACACCTTAAACTTACACAATGTTCTATGTCCATTACCTCAATAAAGCCAGGGGGAAGCAGCGGTGACCTCTCAGCCTGTTGCCCCACTTTCTAGGTTCACACCTATCCAGAGCTTTGACTCTGCCTGTGAAAGCATGAAGTAGCTGTTTTCAAAACTTTACCAGCACATTCCCTCCAACGGAAGGGCACACTCATTTGGGGAGATGATAGAACCTTCCCGCCACAGGTTTTGGAGGCACACACAGGACCCAGTGCCGGCCCTGCACTCACTATTGTACCCTTGGGAGGCACCACAGAAGTCCTCTAGTTACCCCTCAGTTAAATGGGAGGAAAAATGCCTACGCCTGTGTGAAATTTTGGCATGGTGCCTAGCCAATGGCAGTGCTGAAAAAGCACTGTAGTTAAAACTATCATTGAGGTGATGGCCATTAAACCAGTACCTGAAAGCTTGAAGTTTGGTCAATACTTTTTTTCTTTCATTTTTTTTTTTTAATTCATTCTAAAAAACTCTTTCTAAGTGTACATTTAAATTACCTAACATGAGAGATGGTGCTTGGTGGCCACTCAGTATCATCATTGCTCATCCCCGGTCGTCACCACCCTTGCTAGTGCCAGGCACTGGGACACAAAGATGAGCAGGGTGCAAGGAGCTCCTAATTTAGGGAGAGACTGAGATGTACCCCAAAGCGCCAAGGAACCGGAAGTCAGTGCCAAAGAAGACATCTGTGGGGCCTCGAGAGAAGGAGGCTGGGAGTCCATGCCGCCCCAGGGTTGACCAAGCACTGTCCCTTCATCCCAAGGCATGGCCCCCGTCTAGATTGGCCCCCAGAGCTACCATAAAATTACTACCTACTTGATCGCAATATGACTCCCACACTCCTGTCTCACCGGAATTAAATCACACCCATTTTCAGAGCACCCACCGTGGGCCAATACAGTTCCAGGAGCCAGGGTTACAATTACAAGACAGATATGGCCCCTGCCCTCAAGGAATTCACCTTCCAGTGAGAATCCCAGAAGGAAGATACAGGGAGAGAAACAGTGTGACTAGTCCCAGCAGTCGGGGGAATGGAGGAGTCCGTGCCCACTGTCATGCTGGCAGAACCAGAGAACTAATACAGGAAAAAGGTGATCCAGGGAAGCCTTCCTCCCTGGGCAGGAATTTGGGCAGGAATGTGCAAAGTTCAGTTTGGGTCACATTGAAGCTGATGTAATTCCCTTATCTTTATGAAACTTGATATAAGTCCCTCATTGGTGAGGACCCCAGGATTTGTGAGAGGGGAATGAGGTCAAGGCTCCAGAGTTGGGGTGGTTGGCTCAGGCCTGAGGATGACAAAGAGCCATGGACTTTGTACCACATCCCAAAGGACTGTGGCAGAAGCGGGGCGGTATGTGCTCCAGGCTGAGTCCTGACTCTCACTGACCCTGAAACCCTGGGCAAGTTGTCTCACTTCTCTGAGTTCTGGGTATCAGCTAAATGCAGATGGAAATACGCTCCTTGCCCGTTTCACCTGACAGTTGTGAAGCATCTAGAAGAAATCTAGAAATTGTATAATCTACATCACCTTGTATAAAGTGATGTAAATATAAGAAGTCACATCTAGGAAAAGGCTGAGGCTCTTCATGATGTGACCAGCCCAGGGTCACACAATGGTTGCCAGGGCCATCGATCTCTAGTGTCTCTGCCCTGCTCTAATACCTCAGTCTCTCTGGGTACTTGCTGGTGGCAACTTGTGTGGAACACTGAGACTGTTTTGAGAGCCAATCCAGATGAGACCTTCAGACCCCCATCCTGCCTCCAACATAAGCAGGCCAGTAACCTACATGACCTAGGCTGAGGTCAGTGTCAGCAGCATGCATTCCAGGCCCTTGCGAGCCCCACAAAGGCTGGGCTGGCAGCCTTTGTCCGGGAAATGACAATGTCCAGCTCAGAGAGTGTGCTCCAAGGTTTATTGTATCTACTGGGCAGCCCAGGCTCCCACTCAGAGCAAAGGGCTGAGAGCATCTAGAAGGGAAGCAAGGCTACCAAAGGCTGACAGGCCTGCACTGTCGAGACAGCAGTGCTTCCACTTTAAGCACAGCCAGTTCACCCCCCTTTCCCTTTATATCTCCTAAAGAGGGAGGGCTGTCATCTCCATAAACAGAGGCTCCTGGAGGTTTCCTGACTTGTCTATCATCTCCATCCCCCAGAGCTCTAGATCCTGGCACTTTGCCTGCTCCCCCACTTTACCCAGCCTCAGTGACCACATGTCTGGCAGTCAGCCCACCCTCACCCTGGCAGTCACTGGTGCCTCCTAGGACCTAGGATTATAGTTTGGAGCGCACAAATTCTACCAGGCTCTTCAACTGCTCCTCCAGGTATTGCGCATCCCCATGGTTCTCGATGGTCCAGTCAAAGTCCTCAAAGTTATCCAAGTCACATTCTGACTCAGCGTCGTCCACCCCTGTGAAGGAGGTGAGGCAAGGTTAGGCTCCAGCCCTCCAGACAAACATTGGATATCAAGCCTTCTGGCTCCAGAAGGAGCCACCCTCCCCTTACCTTCCCTCTGCCAGAATGGGGCCAAGCTTCACCCAGTCCAATGGGTACTGCCCAACCCTTAAAACACCAGCTATCTGGCTCAACTGCCCATCAAGTCCCCAGACTATCCAGCTGAGTTAACTCTTCACTCACGGCTGCCAATGGAGGGCAGACTGGGTGATCTAAATCTATAGACAACCCAAAAGGGAGTTGTATTTTCATTTTCTGCAAAGCTGGTTGTGTCAATTATTTCTATCGCTAAATCTCTGGTCCAATCCTCTCCGGAGGCAGTGTGCGCCATTCTCACGTAACAAGGAGAATGTGATAACACATGGACCTGGTGAGTGTGCTGTGATGACATAGTGAGAAAGTGGGCAGGGCACTCAGGCCAGGACTGGCCTGGATGGACACCTGGGAAATGAGTAGCCATTAGGAGGGGGCAGGCACATGGGCCTGAACTCCCCAAGTCACAGGGACCTGGGGCAGGAAAGAGGCCTGAGCTAGGCTTCTGAGTGGCCACAGAGCAGGTCTGGGCAGGCACGACTAAAGTTGCCATGCAGAGCTTCCCCTTTTGCCACCCCCAACACACTACTAATCAAAATGAAATGAGGGCTGTCAGGCCCGCCCTCCCACCTGCTACCTGCTGTTAGCACACCGGCCCTTAGGCAGAAAAGCAAAGCTGAAGGAGCAGTGGGGTGGGTCCCAGGCCCTCCAGAAGTCCACTGACCTAGTGAAAACAGGCCAAGTGAGGGACCCAGGCCAAGGTCTCAGGGGACCTTTACCCCAAGGGACACCTTCCCCTTTCAAACCTGGAGGCTCTCCTGAGCCCAGGCCTTGGGTTCCCTTTTATAATCCCTGTCTCACTCCCCCACCGCCTGCCAGCAACCAAGTGGAAGACCTAGCGCGCAAGAGTGGGTGGCCTGGTTTGCAGGAGGTGTGGACGACCTATGTGCCAGTCTTAGGGGCAAAGGTTGTGAGCAACACACCTGGCGTGAACATCCAGCCCCGCTGCTGTCGGCTCTGCTCTGAGGCCACCACTCGGACCAGCTGTGTCACAGCACCATAGGCCTCTCGAAACCACTCAATGTCAGACACCCTCCGTGCGTCACTCACCAGCTGTGGGGAAGGAACACAGACATGTGACCAACAGGTCAGGGTGCAAGGCATAGAGCAGGGGGTAAGGGGGCGAGAAAAGAAGAGCCAGCAACCCTCTGAATAAGCAGGGGCACAGGTCCGGGAGAATCCAGACAAGTGTAGCCCCACCCCCACTGTCACCCAACCAGCCAAAGAGACACCCCTCTTCTCTGAGCAGACCCCCCAGAGTGGCCACAGCCCACTCTGTCCACATGTCTCTGCCAGGGACAGACTGGTGACCTGCAATGATGGGGCTCATCACTGCAATGAAGGAGAGCCCTCGGGCCCTAAAGTAGATTCACACACTGATCTTACAGGTGAGCAAACTGAGGCCAGGAACAAAGGTACTCTAACAGGTTTCCTGGTTTGAAACACTAATTTGATTTTTGGCAGTCCCTGTCCCTAAACCACTCAAAGTCTCCCTTCCCATCATTCTAATAAAACCCAAAGCTCTCACGCCAACTTACAAGGCAGCACAAGATCTACCACCTATTTCCCATCGTCTTCCCTTCATTCATTTCACGGCAGACACTATCTCTGGCCGTTTCTCAAACAGGCCGACCACCTCTCCTTCTCAGGGTCTTTGCTCATGTTACTGCCTCTGCCTGGACAAACAGGCAAAATCAAAATCCTTAACATGAACTTTTGGGCCTTGAATGAGCCCCCTCACTCCACGGAGGTCTCTGCTCAAGTGGCACCCTGGAGAGGCCTTCCCCACCAGCCTGCCTCCCGTCCTACCTCGTAATCCTGATGGGCTGTTTTCCTCCAAGCACTAAGTGCACTTAAAATCATCACTCCTTATTAATTTAGTCATATGTTTATTGTTTGTCTGGCCTTCCCAGAGAGAGTTCTATGAGGGAAAGGAGTCTGACTCAATCACCGCTGTCTCCGGGCCTGTGCCCTGTCTGACACACGAGCACACCCGACGAATGAGGCAGTGAATAAACAGGCCCGCTCTTCTCGTCCATGGTGCTGACGTGTTCATTCACCCAGTTACTAAAAAAAATAAACAGCATGCACCTACGGTGTGCTGGGCACTGGGGACAGAGTGGTGAGCAGAACAGTAGGTGCTCGCCCTGGTGGCGCTTACAGTCTGGTGGGCGAGACAGCAGCTTCACTGAGAACCGTGCAACCACAGTCCTCATCAACTCGCATCTCCACCTTGACATGACTGAATCAGGGCCTCTGATTTTCTCTTCAGCCTATTCCTCCCACCCCATTCCTGGTCTCAGAAAATAACAAGTATAACCTGGGCTTCCTTGCCCCTCCCTGGCCTGGTTCCACTGGTCTGGGAGTCCACTTTATTTCTGTTCCTTTCTCCTCAATAAACTTGTTCTTTCTCTAAAGAAAAGAAAAAAAAAAAGGAAGAAGAAGAAAGAAAAAGAAAATAAGAAAATAACAAGTATATTTGTCCAACTGCTTGGTACCATTTCCTGTCCTCACACCCCTAGCCAGTGCACCAGCAAATCCTCTTGATTCTATCTTCAAAATCAGCACAGAATCAACCCCTTTCCTCCACTCTCCGACTACTCAGAGCCGAGTTGCAGCCACTTCACCTGTCAGGGAAGCGTCCTCTACTGGCCTGTCTGCTCCACAGCCATCTTCCTCCCAGCAGCAAAGTGAGCCCTTTCGACATAGATCAGCTCATGTCTCTCCTCTGCCCAAACCCTTCAAGGGTCCTCATCTAACTCAGCAGAACCCAGACTCTTCCAAGGAAACTGTAGGATCTGATCACACTCCTACCCAAACCCTCACCCATACAACCCCTGGATCTGCCACAGACATGCCAGGCACATTCCACGCAGGGCCTTTCCAGAAAAGGGCCTGCTCCCTTTCTGGAAAGCTACTTCCCTACACATCCATTCGGTTCTCTCCCTTACTTCCTCCTTATACTCAGATGTCATCCTATCTGGGAGCCTTTCCCTACATCCTTAATAAAGCAGCAACCCAAGCCCAGCCTTCCTAATACCCTTGGCCAGCTTCACTTTGCTCCTTCATATTTACCTCCACCTGACAGTCTATATTTATTGAACATCCAGCTCCCTCCATGGCCAGCTATAACATAAGCTCCCAGAGGGTAGGGACTTCTTCACATTTTTGCAATGGCCTATCCCCAGTAGCTGGAAGCAGGCCTGGTCAAGCAGCTAACACAGGCTGACAGAGTGAATGAGGAAGGAAGAGGGAAGGTACCATGGGAGCACCTGCCAGGGAGCATCAGCTAAGACATGGGCACCAAGGAAGGATTCCCTGCAGAGGTGCCTATAAGCTGAGCTGGGGCCAAACAGGTGGAGAAAGAAAGGGAAGTTCAGGCAGGCAGAACATCTAGGGAGAGGCCCTGATTCCAAAAAGAGTTCATATGGGTAGCAGAACGTACATCATTCAAGGCCCAAAAGTTCATGTTAAGGATTTTGATTTTGCTCATGAAAACAATGGGACAAGGTTTTTTAAAGAGAGGAGTGACATGACTCAGTGTCTGTTTTTATTTTATTTTTTTTAATATTTTTATTTATTTTTCATTTTTAAAGATTTATTTTTATTTATTTATACACACACTGGGTACAGTCAGAAGCACGGGAGGGTGAGAGAATTCACCAGAGCCAGAGCGGGGAGCAGAGCAGGCAGAAGGACGGAAGTACACTGCTGAAGGGAGCAGCGGGCGGCAGGAGAGGTCTGCGCGCCACGTGGGACCCTCCTCCAGTGGCCGGGGAGCAGCCGGGGATCAAACCAGCGCTGCAGAGGCTGGGGGCAGCCTCGCAACCCAGCGCTCAACCGCTGCACCACTGGGGAGGCCCAGTGTCTGTTTTTAAAACATCATTTTGTCTGCAAGAATCAAAGGTGGATGAGACAGTGGGGGCTTGCTCCAGGTGGCAGCAGTGGAGAGAGAAACCAATGCATCTGAGATCTACAGCATGTGGGGAAAAGCAGAGGGCTAGGGAAATGGGTTTCCTTAATGCTGCCACAGAGCCGGCTTACCCAGATGGGCTGGGAAACACCTTTCACGATCCTCCTGCAGAAGAAGCCTGGGTCAGCCTGGCGCTTCTCTTCCCCCCAGCGGATCATGTCCTTTCGATAGGTCTCCTTGTAGTCACTGGCATCTAGGAGTCTCTGGAAGTTCAAGCCGTGCTCCTGTCCAGAGCACATCATTAAGTCTATGTCACCGGCCTCTCGACTTTGCTAGACTCCTGAGACAGGTTCATTCCTCCCCCAGGGCCCATGAAAAGACTAATGAGGTTTCTCCAGGACAGAGGCCAACAGACGCCTGCAGAGGAAAGAGACCTGGAAACCAAGAAATCCCCAAATGGCAGATGGAACAAAGGTCTCAAGATAATCCAGAAATTGTTTCAGTTTGTCTTTAAAATATGTGATGTGGTTTTCTCTTTTGCAACAGTTTTACCTTCCCAATTATTTCTGGCTTAAACTAATCCTGAAATTAGTTTGCATCCCCTGAGCACAGGCTTAGCCTTTAACTACAGTGGGAAATCTGAAAACACCACATTCCATGTCCTCCCACGAACCCTTTTGACATTGTTGGCCCCCCTATAAACCCAAGAGACTTGGCTTCCCTGTCTCTCTCTTCTTCCCACCTTGCCCCCTTTTTCGTACCCCAATTCCTAGCACCTTTGCTGCAGCATCACTCCACTTGGCTCCAGGCACTACTGGGGCCCTCCACACCCAGAAGCAGAAGGGCACTCTGATCACATGGGAAGTTGTTTCCAGACCTGACCTCTCCTTCTCCAAGGACTAATAAGGAGGAGGGGTCCATCCAGGACCCCAGGAGAGAGAAACATTCAGTTCACGTTCCACCTCCCTGTGAGCTCACTACAGGAAGACCTTCCCTCCTCAGACTGTTTCTCCATCTGCAAACTGCAAAATCACCTCCCTTCATCACTCCTCCAAGGTGAGGCCAGAAGCCACCTCCTGCTTATACACTGGTTTCCCACGCACCTCTTGCCACAGGGGAGGAGGAGCCACCAGGACCATCATGGTTTGCTTGTCAGTCGTATTTCCCATTGTGATTTAAGAAATCAGTACATTGATTAATTCTGGATTTGTTTTGGAATAGAAGTGGGGGTGGACTTGTAAAGGATAGGGCAGGCTGGTCTTTCTGTCCCCTACTGAGGTTTTAAAAAGGAAAACTTCTCTCCACCTCCACTCCAGCCTGGATAATAGGTCTGCAGCAAGTCTGCTTTGGGAACTCTGGAACACCAGTGGCTTTCTAGCTGCTCCTCAGAGTCCCAGTGTTCTTCAGAGGTGCCCGGGCCCCACTGGAGAAAGCTGAGTGTCTCCCACAAATCATAATCACTCCCAGTCTGTCTACTGGATATAAAGAATTTCTGCATCTGATTTAACTTGGGAAAGTTCCCACTAAAAAAATGTGAAAACCACGGATCCAGTTATCCCCAGGATCCCCAACACTGCTGTCTACGAATGGTGGTGGGAGAAGACCCAAAGGTACAGAAGGAACAGAGGAATGTTCCCACGAACACAGGGCTGTCACATGGAAGAGGGGCATGAACTCTTAAGTGGCTCCAGAGAGCTAGACTCAGGCCAACTGACCAAAAGGCCATGACCAGATGCCCAGAGGGGTGCATCTGGTGGTCAAGGACAGAAACACAGGGGACAAGATATTTCATTGTGTGGGAAGCTGATGTCACTGCCCAGGTTCCCTCGTGTACATCTAAATATCCAAGAGTCCCTGTTTATTTTTTATTTTTTTTAAAGATTTATTTATCTGTGCATACAAGAACTGGGGTACAGGCGAGACGTATGGTGGGGAGAGGATTCACCAGAGACAGAGTGGAGAACAGAACAGGTGGATCAACTAAAATACACTGCTGAGGGGAGCAGTGGGAAACAGGAGAGGTCTGCTGCACCAGGTAGGTTAGCTCCCTGGCTGGGGATCGAACTTGTGCTGCAGTGGCTGTGGATCACTTCATAGTGCTGTGTCTTAACCCTTTGGGCCACCAGGGAGGCCCCCCTGTTTATTTTTTTAATCCAAGTTTAGCAACTCTATTTTTTTAATCTACGTGGTTCAAAATTTAAAAGATACACATTCATTTACAGCAAAAACTCCCCCCGCTGCTGTCCACCAGCCAGGTCTCTCCCTGGAGGCACCCGCGGTAGCCTCCCATGTACAGCTAACCCTTGAACAACACGAGTTTGAACCCTGTGGGTCTGCTTTGATACGGATGTTCTTCAGTAAATATACTGTGAAATGTTTTGGAGATTTTTGACAATTTGAAAAAAACTACATGGCCTAGAAATATCAAAAAATTTAAGAAAAGGTCATTTGTCACAAAAACATAATATATATACAGATATATATGTAGATAATAGTCTATTCTAGCACGAACTATGATAAAAGAGCATAAGTCTAATGATTGAAATACTGTATGTCATAAAAATTTTCATGTACAGGGCCTCCCCTGGTGGCGCAGGCGGTTGAGCGCAGCGCTGTGAGGCTGTCCATAGCCTCTGCAGCACCAGTTCGATCCCAGCCGGCCAGCAAGGGTCCCACATGGCGCAGCAGACCTCCCCTGTCTCGCCCACTGCTACCCTCAGCAGTGTATTTCGTCAGTCTGCCTGTTCTGTTCCCCACTCTGTCTCTGGTGAATCCTCTCACCCTCCTGCACATCTGGCCTGTGGCCCTGCTGTTGTATAAATAAATATTTTCATGTACAGGCCAAGCCATGACGCAACCCTATTGCTGCGTCTTCATTATCAACACATGCGTCATTATACGTGTAAATAAACACGAATTTCTTTTTCATGGCTACCTTTTCATTTTTGATGTCTACGGCTAGTAATACCTATAACAGCTACACTGTTTTGTCTCATATAAGAAGATATCGATGTAGGTACTGACAGACAACTGATCTTGTTAACCATGTAAACTTTCAGTATCAATAAATATAATATAGTACTATAATGAATGGTCTTTTCCTTGAGGTTTTCTTTTTTTTTAAGATTTTTATTTATTTATGCATACAAGAGCTGGGGAGTAGGCCAGAGGTATAGGGGTTAAGAGGTTCACCAAAGACAGAGTGGGGAGCAGAACAGATGGACTGACCGAAATACACTGCTGAGGGGGGTAGCGGGCAAGACAGGAGAGGTCTGCTGCACCATGTGGGTCAGTTCCCTGGCCAGGGATCAAATTCATGATGAGGAGGCTGGAGATGGCTTGATAGCGCTGAGACTTTAACCACTGTGCCTCCAAGGAGGCCACTTCTTAAAGTTTTCTTAATAATATATTCTTCTCTCCCTTACTTTATTACAAGAATAGTGTATAATACATATATCATTAATGTTTATGTTACCAATAAGTCTTCTGGTCAAGAGCAGACTATTACTAATCAACTTTTGGAGAAATTAAAACTTATATGCTGGGCCTCCCTGGTGGCACAAGGGGTTAAGCACAGCACTATAAAGCTATCTGCAGCCTCTGCAGCAGGAGTTCGATCCCCAGCCTCCCTAGCCAGCCAGGGAGCAACCCACATGGTGGGGCAGACCTCTCCTGTCTCACCTGCTACTCCCCTCAGCAGTGTATTTGTAGGAAAATAAAGTGTTAATGTCGTTTTGCTGGGGACATTGGAAGATGTGCGACCACCTTTTGGCCTCCTGATCCGGGAGCCTGGCCAGCGCCCGGACCAGGAGCCAAAAGATAGGGCTGGTTATGTAACTGTTCACGATGTCCGGGACCACCAAGAAATATGGCTGGTTATGTAAGTCCGGGGCGTCATGCGCAGAAACATGACCAGCCTACCATGAATCCCTAGCTTGGATACTGGCCATATCCGACCTTGGGAGATAAAAACACAGTGGTCGCCCAGCTGCTGCTGCTCGCAGCTGCTGGACGTGGATATGTCTCCCATGCTGTTCTCCGGAGTGCTGACTTTTTTGCCTCCGTGATGCTGTTCTCCGGAGTGCTGACTTTTTGCCTCCGTGATGCTAATTTCTGAGGAAACTGTACAGTATGTATGCATGTTCATCAGTTTGGTCAGGTTTGGGGCACTGTTTATAATTTTGCATGTGCATCGCCTATGTTGCTCACAATAAATCCTTTTACCTTTTTTATACGGTGTGGTCATTGAATCCCATGGAATCGAGCCTCCCTCAAACACCTGTGCACAGGGCTAGCAATTACTTTTTATTGCTAGTTACAGTATTTCAGTCAGTCCTCCTGTTCTGCTCTCCATTGTCTCTGGTGAATCCTCTTTAAAAAAAAAAAAAAAATGCAGATTTTCAACTGCAGAGGGGGAGTCATTCCCCCAACCACCAAAGCCACTGCCCCGCCCCTGCATAGTTCAAGGGCCCACTGTATCCTCAGGTTTTATTTTTTTATTAAGATTTATTTATTTTTATACAAAAGCTGTGGTATAGGCCAGAGGCGCAGGAGTATGAGGGGATTCACCAGAGACAGAGCGGGAGCAGAACAGGCAGACAACCAAAATACACTGCTGAGGGGAGCAGTGGGAGAGACAGGAGAGGTCTGCTATGCCATGTGGGAATATCTCTGGCTGGTCGGGAATCAAACCCACACTGCAGAGGCTGCGGATAGCTTCATATCTCTGCACTCAATCCGCTATGCCACCAGGAAGGCCCCTCCTCAGGTTTTAATGCACCCCAAGAAACAGTACTTAACACAATGCCGGAATAATGTTGAATGACTGGATATCTAAGCACCTGTTTACAATTTTTGTTCCCCATTTTTTGACACATGTAGAATTCTCTAACTATTCTACATCTTCTCTTTTCACTTAACACCGTATCTTAACAATTAATTTCTGAGGGGGTAATCCTGAGGTTGTGGCAGGCCCTCTGGGCCGGTGGAGAGGGGAATGATATGTGTCACCCTTTCTGAGTAAGGGGGCATGTGTAGGCCCTTACACTAACCCGAGGCCATTGGAGCTGCCACTCACATCTACAGCCATTCCTGAACATAATTTCTTGAACACACCCTGGTAGGTGACCTGAAGTGAGTGAAGCCAGTGGGGAAATATCTTAAGCTAAAAATGCTCCCAAAATATCCACTCACAGGAAACGGAAACTGCTGACCACCACCCAGCCAGCAGGGGCCCTGCTGGTGAATCGCATGATACCCACAGCAACCAAAGCCCAGGAGCTGGCTCCTTCTACCCACCAGATGCCACAGAGTTGTCACCTACCTGAGCAAACTGCTCCTTGAGTGGACCAGAGAGACGCAGGATAGCACAGACATCACTTCCGAGTCTGTGGAACAGGGAGAACCAAATCCAGTTAACCTAGCACTTCTGGACCCCAGAAAAGGAGTCCAGAGGGTTGAAGCCCCATTTATGCTACTCTTATCTATGTAACTCTGTCGCCTCTCAACTTCCCTGACTCTATTTCTTCATCTGTAAAGTGGGGATAACTGTTTCCGCTTGTCTCCCACAGGATTATTTTGAAACTTGAATGTGAAAGAGTCTGAAACTAACAGGTAAAACAAGTAAAATTTTAATTATAGTGTGAACATCCCTGTCTGGCAATATCCTGGCTGAATTACTGCTGGATCCCTGAACAAATTCTCTCACTGCCGGAGTATCTCAGTTCCTGACATGGTTGTCACATAGAAATCAATCATTCATTCAGCAGTTCAATTCGCTCAACCAACCGTTTCTTGGGTATTATATTTGGGTCCAGGTGATACAAATATGAATAAGATACAGGATTCCTGCCCTGACCTTGAGCTGTTCAGATTCATTTCAACGCTGACATGGTAAGATAGCTGTCCTTATCTCCATGACTTAGATGAGGAAACAGGTTTTGTGAGGAGAACTGACTTACCTAAAGCAACACTGCAAGTAATGAAGTCAGCAGTGGGAACACAAAATAACAGCCAGCATTTAGTTCCCATGCCTTTACTAGGTGTCAAGAATTGTCCTCAGCCCTTCGCATACATGGTCTCATTTAATCCTTACAATCACTCTATTATTATCCCTGTCTCACAGATGACAAAACTAAAACAGAGTGGATAAGAAATGTGTACAAGATCACACACAAGCAAGCAGTGAACCAGGATTTCCCCAGAAGTTTTAATACCAGAATCTGTGCTCCTGAACACCATTTGACTGTTCTCTGGGGATAAGAAGACATACAATTTAGGAAAAGATGGTAGATACTTGGTGATGGAAGATCCAGATGGCACCCTCTACCCGAGGCTCCCCCACAACCTCTTGGAACCCCTGTGGTACCTTAAAGCAACCTCCTGGTACTCCTACCACACTGGTCTTCAAGAGGAAAGATGCCCTACTCCCCCTTCTCACTAGCTCTTCTGCTCTCCTGGCCTATGCCCCAACAAAATATCGAGTGAAAAGTGTTATTTGGGAAGATAATGTGGTAATTCAGGAAGAATCCATTCCTTGGAGCCACACTAAAGATGAATCTGAATCCTGGACCTGCCTGCTCAGTTTCTTCATCTGTGAAGCAGAGACTCTGAGTAATAATACCACACAGTACCAAAGAGGTCTGCAGGATGAAATGAAATAATACACATGTTCAGTGCTCTGCACTTAATAAAGGTTGTTTCAATAAACTCCTGCTCTTAGGTGGTGTGCTGGGCAACGATTAGTTAGGAGTCAACCACGACTGGGGTGTGATCGTCAGAAAATCTATTCTCTGTGTTTCCGACTCCTTGTCCTGAAGTTCAGGAACAGCTGTAGAGAAAAATGCCTCAGTGGCAACTGTTACTAATATTTCCTGGAGAGAGAGATCTACAGTTTAACGTGTTTGGAGATGTGGCAGCTGAAGTCTCTGTGATGGGCGTGTGGAGATCGCCCGCTTTATGTGATGGTGACAATCCTTGACCGCGCCCCCCGCAGGGCCGGACCGCCCCGCACCCCGAGGACCCCCTTCTCCGCAGCTCAGCCCACCCTCAGACGCCTCCCGTGTCACGTGATGCGGGGCGCTCCTCCGCCCTCGCCCGCTTCCCCTCCTTCCCGCCCCTCGGACACCTGCTCAGTAGCTCGTCGGTCACAAAGTCCTTCCCGGATTTTCTCTTCCCGCTGAACAGCAGCACGAGCCGCGGGGAGCCTCCTAGCGGGGCCATGGGTCGTCCTGTCGGCGCGCCCTGAAGCCGACACTTATGCCCATCTCTGAAGTCAGGCCACCCCGCGCGGAGTGGGAGCGGCCATTAGCTGGCGAGGCCGCAGGAGGGGATCCGCCCCTCTCTTCGTGGCTGTAGAGGGCACTGTCGGCCTTCACGTGTGCTTCCGGACATTTTAAGTAATGTCTAAAGAAATTAGAAGTGGGGGGAAAGAAAGTCACTTCCCAGGACAGCCTTTACCCCCTAAAGAAGCGCCCCTACCAGACGGATTTAGAACAGCCCGGCCCCGCCCACATGTGACGTCAGGGACACGCCTCCTCAGCCGGCAGCGCGGGGGCCGACTGGGCGCGACCGGGTCGGTCTTAAGGGGATGACGTCTTAAAATTCCCTGAGAAGAACGTCGCGTTGCCTTCCACACAAACCTGTAAATGTTATGAAAAAAGATAAGATTGATATTGTTGAAGAAGCTTTCAAAACTGCTTTCTTATTTGTGCATTAAAAAATGCATGTGCTGAAGAAAATCCTTTTTTGGCCTCCAGTGAAAATGGGTCATTTCTAGAGAGGAAAGGAGGCAATGACACCAGAGGGTTGTGTCCTGCGACATGTCGAGGCTGAGTCTAATACCTGCTGTTTTAATGTTAAGCTGGTTTTAAAAGTGGAGCGGCGGGCCTCCCTAGTGGTGCAATGGGTTAAGCACCGCACTGTGAAGCAATCCGCAGCCTCTAAAGCACGAGTTCGATCCCCGGCCGGCCAGGGAGCAACCCACATGGCGCAACCCACATGGTGCCGCAGACCTCTCCTGTCTCGCTCGCTGCTCCCCTCAGCAGTGTACTTCGGTCAATCTACCTGTTCTGTTTCCCACTCTTGTCTCTGGTGAATCCTCTCACCCCCACCCACCTCTGGCCTGTACCCCATATATAAATAAATTTTTTTTTAGATTTATTTATTTATACAAGCACTGGGTAAGAAGCGCGGGAGGGTGAGAGAATTCACCAGAGCCAGAAAGGGGAACAGAACAGGCAGACTTGACGAAATACACTGCTGAGGGGAGCAGCGGGCACAGCAGGAGTGGTCTGTCCTGCCATGTGGGACCCTCGCCGGCAGCCGGGGGGATCGAACCAGCGCTGCAGAGGCTGCGGGCAGCTTCGCAGCCCAGCGGTCAACCGCTGGCTGAGGCCCAATAAATAAATCTTTAACACACACACACACACACACACACACACCCTAGTTTCCCACCAAGAGATCAAGGGACAGAAATATGGGGTAGTGATCTACCCCTTCCCTGAATTCCCAGTGTCATCTCTGCCCAGTCTCTGTGAGTAAATGAAGTCGTCTTTAGCAAGACTGGCTGTCCTGCATTTTTCTGAGCATGTCAAAACACAGCCTGTAAGCCATTCCTATTCCCATTTTATGAGCTATAAAGTCAGGCAAAGAGAAAAGGTGCTATGTGGAGACTTGGGAAGACATGATTAATCCCCTTGATATTGAAAAGCTGGTACAAAACCAGCTAAGGAAAGTAGAATGATGAAAAAGAACAAACTTCAGGAAGGCCTTTTTTTTAAGCAACTCTGAAAGCTTTGTACTCATCAGTATGTTTAGAAGCAATTTTTTTTCTATATCTAACATTTTGTGCTGGCCACAATTTTCAAAACTATATTTTGTGTAAAGAATGTACAATATATTTAAAGAACTTTGTAATTAGCAATTCCAATTCCTAAAATTCTCCAGATTGTCCAGGTAACAGAATTCCAATTTTATGTTGGATAACTTTCTTATACACAAATCATGAAATAAATTTAGCCTTTCATGTAAATACACGTGTTTGAAAGTTCTAATGTAACTTTACAGTGTACTTGTTTTAGTTATTATTTTATTTCAGTACATTTTTAAAAATAGCTACAGAGCAAAGATTTACACTATTAATCAAAAATAATATAGCTGGTAGATTTCTGCAAATTGGCAAAATAACTGGGTTTTACACTATTTTCATACCACCAAGGATGGACTATGGAATGAAAGGTCTAATCAAAATCTCAGAGTGGCATGTTTTATCATTAATATTTTCCGCTCCTTGACAGAAATGTTTGATTGTGCCTTTATGGTTTGCTTTGGGGGTGGGGGGTGTTTCCTATGAGAATGCATTTATTTATTTATATTTTTATTCATTCAATTTATTTATTTATTTTGCATAGAAGAACTCAGGAGTAGGCCAGAGGTACAAGAGGTGAGAGGATTCACCAGCACAAAGTTGGGAGCAGAAAAGACGGATTGACTGAAATACACTGCTGTGGGGAGCAGCGGGTGAGACAGGAGAGGTCTGCTGAACCAAGTTTTAACTCCCTGATTGGGGATCGAACTCAGGCCATAGTGGTGATAGGCTGAGACTTAACCCCTATTCTACCAGGGAGGCCCTATTTATTTATTTTTACCACCACCATTCCCTCATTCCTTTTTCCCTCCCCCTCTCTCTCTTAACTCAGAGCCTTCACTGTGTTTATTAATGTCCAGTAGTTTCTATACATATTTTACTTTGTCAAATTGTCCATTATGTAAATACCCAGAATGTTTTTGTCTTTCTGACTTGCTTTACTGCACATAATTCCTCAAACTCCCACCATTTTGCTGTAAATGACTGCATTTTATCTTTCCTTATGGCTGAATAGTATTCCATGGTGTAGATGTACTACCTCCAGTTGTCTGTTGGAGGACATTAGGCTGCGTGCATATCCTAGCTAGAGCTTATAGTTTTTTGCATTGTTTCATATTCCTTCTGTAGATGCCTAAGAGTGGAATTACTGGTTCTTATGGTATTTCCATTTTTGTTTTTTAAGATGAATTCAGATTACTTTCTATAATGGTAGCAGCAGTTTACATTCTTAACAACAGTGTAATAAGGTTCCTCTCTTTTTCATGTGCACCATTCTCACAGGTATGAAATGGTAACTCATTGTGAATTTAACCTGCATCTCTTACTGAAAGTGTTAATGAACATTTTTGCCTTCTGGATATCCTCCTTGGTGAATTGTTCATTTCTGCTGCCTGATTAATTGGATTGTTTGTTTTTCCATTGTTAAATTGTATACTTGTTTATATATCTTGGATAGTAACCCCTTTTTGGTTATATATTATGTGAATGTTTTCTGTATATAATCATATATATGTATAAATATATATATACGTGTGTATATATAAATAGCTATGTAAAAGCTTTTCACATGAGGTGATCCCAATTGTTTATATTTGCTTTTATTTCTTTTGCCATAGGGGTCAAGTCTCCAAAACCATCTTTATCGTTGATGTCATGGTGATAGTGTGGGGGGTTTTTTTGAGATTTATTCCTTTATTTATGCATAGAAGAACTGGGGTATAGGCCAGAGATGTGGGGTTGGGCGGGAGTGGGGTGGGGTGAGAGGATTTACCAGAGACAGAGTGGGGAGCAGAATAGGCAGATCTACTGAAATACATTACTAAGGGGAACAGCGGGCAAGACAGGAGAGGTCTGCTGTGCCATGTAGGTTAGCTCTGTGGCTAAGGATTGAACTCAGGCCTTCATGCCACAGCTGTGATAACGATAGTATGATAGCGCTGAGAATTAACCTCTATACCACCAGGGAGGCCCTTGTTGATGCCATGGAACATAGCATTTATTTCTTTTTCTATGTATTTCTTTTTCTATTTTATTGTTTTAGGTCCTATATCTAAATCTTTATTCCTTTGGGAATTAATTTTTGTGTATGGAATTATAAAGTGATCCAGTTTCATTCTTTTATGTGTGGACTCCAATTTTCCTAGCATCATTTATTAAAGAGACTCTCCTGTTCCCATTGTATGGTGGTGGCTGCTTTATCATATCATTAGGTACATGTATTTATTTCTGGGCTTTCAATTCTGTTCCATTGATCCACATGTCTATTTTTGTGCCAAACTACACTGTTTTTAGTACTGTCTGAAGTCATGTACTATGATGCCTCTGATTCTCTCCTTTTATCAGGATTGCTTTTACTACTCCAGGCCTTTTTTAGCTCCATATAAATTTCAATATTTTTTGCTCAATTTCTTTGAAAAATATTGTTGGTATTGTGCTGGGAATTACATTAAATTTATATATCACTTTAGGCAGGATACTTATTTTGATTAGACTAATTTTCCCCATCCATGAGCATTAGATGCTCTTCCTTCCATCTCTTTATGTCACTATGTAGGGGATCATGGGATTTGTAGTTCCCAGTGTCTTGACGGAGTGGGGGTGGCATCCACAAAGCCTGTATGGAGATTGCTCAGGACATCCTTTCTTCCTAACACTTTAATAACATCTTGTCGTTTTCATTTTATAGATCCTTCATCTCCTTAGGTTAATTATGAGGCATCTGATTCTTTTTGAGGCCATTGTAAACTAAGTTATTATCTTGGGCCTCCCCTGGTGGCACAGGTGGTTGGGCACAGCACTGTGAAGCTGTCTGCAGCCTCTGCAGCGCGAATTTGATCCCAGCCGGCCAGCAAGAATCCCACATGGCACAGCAGACCTTTCCTGTCTCACCCGATGCTCTCCTCTACAGTGTATTTTGTCAGTCTGCCTGTTCTGCTCTCCACTCTGTCTCTGGTGAATCCTCTACCCTCCCGTGAGTCTGACCTGTGCCCAGTTCTTGTATGTATGAATAAATAAATCTTTTTAAAAAATTAAGTTATTATCTTGATTTATTTTCTACTCATTTGTTGTATATAAATATGCTGCAGATTATTGTATGTTGCTTTTGTAAACTGCAACTTTCCTGTATTGTTTCTAACAACTTGTTGGAGGACTCCATAGGGTTTTCTATATATAGTATTATATCTGGGAATAATGATCGTTTCACTCCTTTACTAACTTGAATTCCCTTTATTTCCTGTTTTTGTCTGATAACTCTGGCCAAAATCTCTAATACTAGGTTAATCAGAAGTGGTGAGAGTGGGCTTTCTTGTATTGTTCCTGATCTTAAGGAGAAAGCTTTCAGTTTTTCACCAATAAGTATTACACTGACTGTTGGTTTATAGTATGTGGCCTTTATTATATTGAAGTAAGTTTCTTCTATTCCTATCTTGTTTATGATACAGGGCAGCAAAGGGGCACTAAAACTGGCCAAGGACAGGGCCTCCCTGGTGGCGAAGGGTTAAAGTCTCAGTGCTATCAAGCTATCGCCAGCCACTGTGGCATGGGTTCGATCCTGGGTTCAATCCTGTTTAGCCTGCTGGTCCCTTCAGCAGTGTATTTCAGTAGAGCTGC